TGATGGTGTGAATGGTTTGGGGAGTGGTGGAAATGGAAGGATGGTGTGATGGTTGAATTTCTGCAATGGATGGAATGATGGAATAAGGCACGGCCAAGGCTTGTGTGGATGTGTGTTTGAATGAATGAATTTCTGAATGAATGACTCCCCCCCTTGTGGCTGTAATGGATGTTTATTTATAGGTGAAAAAGAGGGAATATGACAGCTAGGAACTTGTTGGAAAGCTGGAAATGCAAAAGGGGAATGCATGTGGCTGAAATAGCATGTGGAATGGCTGATTTATTTGAAGATGCATGTGCAATGAAGTGGAATGACAGCTAGGTTATGATGATGAATGCATAAAGGTGGAATGACAGCTAGGTTATGATGATGAATGCATGTGGATTAGGTTGGAATTGCATGTGGCTGCAATGGATAAACGGATGGAAGTGCATGTGGCTCTAATGTAGCCTTCTAGAAATCAGGTTTTTAGGCCCCCTTGCAACTCCCTAACTGAATTCAAGCCTTTCAAATTCGTCCATCCTCATGACTCCATGCTTGCACTATCCAATCTTGGCCCAAAAATGCTCTAGAATGCTCCAAATTGCTTCTTTTTGCATACTTTGACACTAAAACCTGAAATTGCACGAAAATAACTTTAAACACTATAATTAACATAGTTTAGCTAATTAAATGCAAGAAAACAAGCTAACTAAGTCGTATAAATATGCTCCTATCATGTCACATATTATCAAATGTGATGCATTTTCTCTTGTAATGAGTATTTGCCGTCACATAAGCCATGTTTTTGTTCGAAATGTGCCATAAAACCAATCATATGATGATACTTTACAGATATTTCACATGTTAAGCTAATCTAGTTTAATATAAAGGGCAAAGATTATTGTTTTAAGCCATCTCATATAAATGTTATATGCTTAAACGATAAGTCAAAAATATGTAATTAGGAGAATGTGATCTAAAGAAGTTAGATTCAAGAGACCATTCTTTTTTGTATACATATCCTAAACGTTCCTAATCATAGGATTGCCAATTGGGCATTGACAGTCCATTAATATCGATACGTCTTAGTGAGAGTGACTGGTCTCGAGTCATTGGTGTGACTGACACCAAGACAAGCATGTAGGTGCTCGATAGAGAATGAGTCCACTGAACGCTATCAACGAGGAGTTCTCATATTCATGTCACATGAGAACTCATGGTTGGGATAATGCAAAGTAGTCCTTTGACATAAGACATCACAGTTGTCTTGTGGTTAGGTCCTTCATCTTTGACTATGCCAAAGTCACTCCGTTAGAAGGTGTCCACGACATAGTTGGGGTTAAGCCACTTAGCCATGGAGGCAAGTGAATACACAACAAGGGATCTCTAACCTTCAAACTGTTTGAGGGAGAACACTTTATGATATGATTAAGAATCTCTGGCCAGAGTATGAATGAGATTTAGGAAGTCGTTCCAAATCACATTCAAGGTAATCATATAAGTAAGAGAATCACATTGGATAGTAGACATGAATAAACTAACAAACCAAACAATGTGGTCAAGAGTATTGTATTAGAGACAGACTGTATTGCATTATAATCCTAAACTGAATAGGTTCTCCACCTCTTCTGATTAGCTTAGGTAGCCATGACATACTACTAGGTATCACTCATGGTTTGTCGAAGCCCTAAAGGTGTACAAACACTAAACGGAGAATTGAAAGTATGTTTCAATTCACAATTGATTTGAAGAGTTCTAATCGCCCACTACCTCTCTAAAAGGAAGCTAATGGATCATACACAATGTAAGGTAGAGATTGAAAAAACAACGGAGATGAGTAAGGATAATTAAATGGTTTAATTATTTGCGGCTATTATTAAACCTCGGGTTAGTTTTGGGCCACAAGGGCCAATGGGATTTGAATGTCAAGCCCATTAACTCAAGTTGTATGACAACTTGAAAACACCAAGGGCTTGAAAGCGCAATGAATCCTTAAGGCCGGCCACATTATAGGGTGAAGGGTTTTGGTTCTTTTGTCACTTAATTGAAGGGACTATATAAAGAACTTTATAACATTTCATCATTAGGGTTTCTTTGGGAGAAAAGATGAGAACACAAAGCTCTCTTTTCTCTCTAAGAGGCTGGCCGCCCTAGAGGAAATTAGCTAGCAATCTTACTTCATCTAGGTCACACATCTCTTCATCAATGCTCTCCTTGGTGTGAAGACTTAGAGGTTCTCTATTTTGGGAACTTGGAGAATCCATTCTACCATCCTCATCCAAGAAATCCGTGGAGCTAAGAAGTAAGGAATGAAGGCCCTATCTCTTGGGTTATTAGCCTTTGCTTATGCAAAGAGGAATAAACAAAGGTATAATATTTCTCAACTCACTTTGTTCTTGAGTTGAGTCTTGGTTCACCACACTCACTAGGCCTTGAATTTCATGGGTAAAGTTTTGTTTTTGAGTGCATACAAGCATGATTCCGCCTTTTAATTGTTAATTGCATGCATAGATGTTGCTCAAATGAACTAGTTTTCACAAATATTTCCTTAAGTTTTCTTGTAGTGAGGTCACTTCTCCTAAGAGAAGACATAGCACGTACTGATCTTACGTCAATGCCAATTGGCAACTATGATCAGGAACATTTAGGATATGTGTACAAAAGAGAATAGTCTCATGAATCTAACTTCTTTAGATCATATATTAAACAAGTTTAGTTTAACATATGAAATGTTCATAAAATATCATCATATGATTGGGTTTAGGACACATTTCCAACATTATTGACTTTTAAATTTCTCCAAGCTAGTTGAAGGATCATATTTGTACAATTTGTGCAACATCCTTACCTTGAGCACCCCATAAAAAGTGAATTTTTTTTAACTTTGTTCTTGTTCAAATCCTTCAAGGCTGCAATCTCTGCCAATGCTTGAGCTCACCCTCCTCGTCTCTTTAACTTCCTGCATAGAGGCTTTAACATTTGGATCCCCAATTTGCCGAAATCCTCGAATTTGGTCTCTCACCCTACGAGAGAGAAACATCCAAGAACAAAAGAAGTGGGATTGGACAAGCCAAACCAGTCATGATCTCAACGCAATTCATCAAATGATCAATTAGCTATTTGTCAAAGAAATTGCACATATCAAATAATAATATAAAAAAGCACTCAACTTTTTTCGTAAGCCAAAAGCATCCATCTGAATAGTAAATTCAAGAAAGAGAGGTAATGCTAAATTGCCAACCCTACAACTGTGGACAATCAGAGTTTGTTGAAGCATGTAAATGAGTAATGAGACGAGAAACTTTCCCTTTCGATTAATTAGAATTAGAGGAATGTTTATGAAAGATAACATGAAATTATTGTGTTTCAATTACAAGATGGAACAATCATGGAAGCGCTGCTTAAAACGACGCCGCCTCATCTTCCCATTCTCTCCGTTGGTCTTGTTGTTGTATTCCTTTGAATTCGTGCGACCTCGTCCGCTGCTGTCCGTCCTTTCACTTGTTCGACTTTTGCTTCTTCTGGAATATAGTAGACACATAATTATTACTATTATTATATTATTCGGCTGCTTCAACATGTTACACCACTACAAGTATATGCTTAATGCTTTATGCTATTTGCATTTTGTATGTATGTGTGTATGCATGCATGTATGTTCTCCTTCCCCCATTTAATTTCTATTTCACACTCGATTGGTTGGTACACTGATGTTGGTTTACACTCTAATTCAACTTTTGGTGCCCTTCCCTTGTTATAAAATAAGCTACTTTTCAGTTTGAAAGTGATTTTTGAAACTACGAGGAGTCATAATTAATTAATTATAACAAATATGATTTCGGGAATGAACAAATAAAATTAAAGGAAATTTACCCTATTTTCATTTACAGGATCTTTTCGTAACAGATTAAGAGCATTTACCCGTTCACGCAAAGTTTTAGGTAATCCCCCTCAAATATTTAGGTATACAAAAATCAGAGGATCTTTCCATATCTTTTAGGTAATCCCCCTCCTCAAGTATTTAAGCATCCAAAAAACAAACTAGAGATCTTTTCGTAACTAATTAAGAGCATTTACCCGCTCATGCAAAGTTGTAGGTATTCCCCATTCTGCCATATCTTAAGCATCTAAAAGACAAACTTACGTTTGAAATTCTATTTAGGCGCATGGCTGGTTTATACCGAGAATTCGTTGGCAGGTGGAGGAAAAAGTCTTGCATTGCATTGCCAGTGTAAATTCCCTCCCACCAAGGATTCTATCTTGGCCCGGAAGACAATAACTCCACTCCTAGCGAATCACTTTAAATAAGCAAAAAAGAAATGGGTATCGGATTCTTAGCTTTCCCACGTTCACTATGAGTGACTACATTTGTGGCAACCCGTCACGTCACAAACCACAAAAATAGAAAACAAAACAAGTTATCGTCTAATGAAAGAAAGCTATGTATAAGTTTCATCAGACCAGAACAAGCATCCGTGATCAATCAATCATCCACCTTTACCATTTCAGACTCCCACCAATGCAGTATGAAGAATTAGTTATCCCGAAAACCTATTTTTCAGAAGAACAAAGAAGAAAAAAACAGCAGTAACACACACAAAACCAGTCCGCCCCATCGATGCATGAAAAACCCATAAACCACACTGCAGATGCTAGGAGTGGCAAACCCAACGCCTTCTAAGGGCTTTGGACCAAGTAGCGGCAGCATCAATTGGAGGATCCTCCGGAAATTTGTGTAACTCTAGGTGAGGGGGAAAGGTATAACAAGACCGGCCTTTTGCACCAAAAAGACGGCGTTCAATTAGCAGTGGCATAAAGCAACAACTTACCTTCCTTAAAGTGAACTGAAAATTACCTTTTAGGAGGTTAGGCTTGGGCACACCAAGGGAAACATGATTTTAAAACGAAAACTGCCAATTTCATTTTCATGGTTTAAGATAATAAACAACAGAACTAAAATATCTAATGCACGATAAGATCACATTAACAAGAGATACTATAACTTGCAATATTAACAATGATAATCACCAATAAGCAGAAATATCAGATTCAACCAATTGTTTTAGGTTCGTGATTCAAAAAGAAGAATGAAAATACCAATGTACCGTAACAGACACTACCAAACAGGAACTATGGAGAGACAGCAAACAAGTAGATACTAAAGGGACAGTACCACAGATCATGCATACAAGAAAATAGACGTGTGAACCAACCAAAACCTAGCAAGACCAAATGAACATGTCCTAATGGGATATGAAAATCTCTTTATAAACTTTAGTTTTGGTCCTCACTTGGCCATCATGACTTTGACGAACTCCTCATAGTTGATCTGCCCATCGCCATCCACATCAGCCTCACGAATCATCTCATCAACTTCCTCATCTGTCAGCTTCTCGCCTAGATTTGTCATAACATGACGAAGCTCAGCAGCAGAAATGAAGCCATTCTGGTCCTTATCGAACACTCGGAAGGCTTCCTTGAGCTCCTCCTCAGAATCGGTGTCCTTCATCTTCCGGGCCATCAAGTTAAGGAACTCTGGAAAATCAATGGTCCCATTCCCATCAGCATCAACCTCATTGATCATATCCTGAAGCTCGGCTTCAGTTGGGTTCTGCCCAAGTGAACGCATGACAGTCCCCAACTCCTTTGTAGTGATGCAACCTGAATCAAAATTAAAATTAAAAAAAATAAAAAATAAAAAATAAAAAGTATTAGTGTGGAATACAGCAAAGATATTGGTAATAAGGCTTTAGGCAGATAACTATGCTTCTTTTGTATGATGAGTGGGAAACTGTAGCCGGGCATACTAACACAAAAAAAATCACTGTACTCCCCCTAACTTTAATTCTAATACATTTTAAATGTTATGATTGTTGAGGGAATTCTGCCTAAACTGACAAAAGAAAAATACACGCATGAACTAAAAAACTATCGCATTTCAATCAAACAACGCTTTCAATATTGCACACAACATGTATAAGGCAAACAATAAAAAGAAAAACATTCATCCAGATTTCCATATTCAATATCAAAATATCAGTCAGGAAAAGACAAAATCAATTCACCGTTGTCCAACCCAAAACCACCCAACCATAAGTAAAAGATTGAGAACATACAAAAAATTGTTCATATATATTTATAGACCTAAACCCTCATGAAAGTTTGCATTTCATGCTATCCATGGGCGACAGAAACATAGAATAAATCATTTTTGTACACACACACACACACACACCCACACACATATATACATATAAAATTGCCTTGTGATCTCAATACAAGAAGAATTAATTTTGCAGCTCCAAAACCATAACAGAGAAATTGAATCAAAAACCCACTTTTACCAAAAATTGGATAATCCAAACAATGGAGGAAACGAATATGAGAATCATAATCTATCCATATATTTAAATTCCACACATTTAACCTCAAATCTTACAGATCTTATCCTCAACGATCAAAACGCACTCGGAGGATTATAAATCAATTCAATCGCTGAAAAATACTCAATCAATCACAAATTTTCACCAGAAAAAGATTAAGGTTTGATGCAATAACAGCTTTAGATCCAAATATCATAGATTAATTAGGCATAATAAGAACAAAAGGGAAAGAGAGAGAGAGAGGGATCTGAGAACGAGACCATCGCCGTCCTTGTCGAATAGGCTGAACGCCTCCTTGAACTCGGAGATCTGGTCGTCGGTGAGCTGATCGGCCATCGTTGAGAGCGTTTGGCTTCCGAGAAAATCACAGAGAAAGTGTTCCAAAGTAAAAGGAAAATACGTCTGTGCGTGTCTCGAATGTGGAAAAATGTGAGAGACGGGTAGGCTTTATATCTCAAAAGAAAGAGTGGTGGTCCATCGGCATCTGATTCCCTCTCAGCCGCACGTATACCTTCTCTTTGATTTGAACCTAGAGATTTCAATTTAATATTAGTAAAAGCATAAAAGTTATTTATATTTATATATTTTATATCTATCTATATATATAAAGGGAGAAGCTCAGTTTGGTAAAACATTCAGAAATGCCTAAAATGTACACAAAAAACAAAAAAATAACTGTCTAAAAAATAGGGTTACAAACATAATAATTCCGAATTCTCAACGACATTAATTCACAACCGTTACATAAGATACTCACACTTTAAATTTTCACCGTTTAGATCAATTATTCCACAACTGCTACATCACATCATATCTGAAGAATATATATAAAGGGAGAAGCTGAGTTTGGTGAAGCATTCATAAATGCCTAAAATGTACACAAAAAACCAAAAAATAACTGTCTAAAAAATAGGGTTACAAACGTAATAATTCCGAATTCTCAACGACATTAATTCACAACCGTTAGATATCTACTCACACTTTAAATTTTCACCGTTTAGATCAATTATTCCACAACTACTACATCACATCATATCTGAAGAAACACTCTAGATAGAACGAGGGAAACCATTTGTTGCACGTTCAGAGCAGCAGTTGCAACGGTTGACAAACCAGACATGGAAGCCCCATTTATCCCATGTTCTCGATCCCCACAGAGCATACAAAAGGGAAAATTGGATGATTTTCTCAAACTCACTTTTGCCTTCCATACAAAACCCCCTCCTCCACGCCTTTTCTGTATGATTTCTTCATCTGAAACTGTCAATCTGGAAAATAAACGCTAGGATTCACACAAATCGGTGAGTATTTCCCCCTCCTTATTCAATTTCTGTTTTGTTGTTGTCCCATCATTTGCACACTGTTTTTTCTATCTTTTCATTCTGTGGCCTTAGGTACCTTCCATCACTCTCTCTCTCTCAAAGATTGCATTGATGAAGAATACACACTCCTTTTAGACTAAAAACCCAAAAATTCTAACTTTCAAGGACGATCTGGTAAGCATTTTCTCTAATACTCATTCTCATATTTTCTGTGCTTTCCTTGATTTTTTGGGTTTGTTCAAGTTTTTTATGGGTTTTGAGTTTATTGTAGTCAATTTAGGGTTATGTGGAATCGGAAAATCGAAGACTAAGAAGTAGAGGAGGAGATCAGTATAGAAAAGGCAAGCAAAGGTAAAAGGTCAAAAACGTAAATTATTATTTATTATTCTATTTATCCAAAAAACAATTTTTTGATATTTTATAATTACTGTTTGGTTGCTGGGAAAATTGGGTTATTGGGTGGCAAATAAATTTGATTGTTTTGGACTTTTTGGGTCCCACCCACATTGAGAGAAATGCGCCTTTCATCTATGGTTTTGGAGTAGATGTAGGAAGTAAATATAATTACATTGTGTCTACTGGATGGCTAAGAAATTTTTGGAAGTTGATATCTTTTTGTTGTGTTAAATACTTAAAACAATTTCAACATTGTTTGCATTGCATTAACAATGATTTTCTTTTTTGGTGTTTCTACATGTCCATACTTGGTGTGGTACTATCGTTCATCATCTAAAATCTCAATGCTCATTGAATTATCAAATACTAAGGCTTTCGGCACAAGTTGCAAACTGATAGCACTCCCTCAGGTAATCAAATTTTGTATTTGTACGCGTTTGCAGTGATTATATGAAGCTCAAATTTGTTATGTTTTGGTAATTTTGTAGTAAAAATGCCGGAAAGCGATATTGTACTTGGTTCTGATTTCATAAATTAGTTTCGATAGGTTGAACGTGTAAGTCAATTACATTTTGGTGCTAAGAAAATTGGAGATTGTTTACTGCTCTAATTGTTGCTACATGCTTGGAATTTAGAAGCAAACCAAAACACAACGGTAATTCTTTTGGAAAATAAATTATTTAAGGATAGCATTTTTTTCCTTCTTAATCTCACTCTATATGTACATAGCAAAGTTTTGGCAGATTTCGGCTTATCTGATGTATTAAAGTGTATGGTAGTTTTGTGCTTTAGTGAAGAAAAAAGAATGCTGCCCTTTGATTTTCGTGGTCTTTTACTGGAATTCTTTATGACACTCATTTGTGACCCAACGTATAAAATTTTGGACTCCATTCCTTTGGTTGCAGAATATGGTATGTCATTGTTCTATTATTGCATGTATGTCAGACAAGCTTTGAAGTGCCTTTTGTCAATAGATTATTTGGACGATTGAATAATTGAATCCTTCTTATTTCCATTGAGCACAATGTCACATCTCGACCTAGGCCCCCACCACATCCCGGGCTCAACTCCACCACCGTAGCATTATATTGTCCGTTTTGGGCTTACCATTCCCTCACAGTTTTGTTTTTGGGAACTCACGAGCAACTTCCCACTGGGTCACCCATCATAGGATTGCTCTAGCCCCCTTCTCGCTTAACTTCGGAGTTCCTACAGAATCCAAAGCCAGTAAGCTCCCAATAGGCCTTGTGCTAGGTAGAGATGGGAATATACATTTAAGGATTAGTCCCCTGGGCGATGTGGGATGTCACAATATGGTATGTCATTGTTCTATTATTGCATGTATGTCAGACAAGCTGTGAAGTGCCTTTTGTCAATAGATTATTTGGACGATTGAATAATTGAATCCTTCTTATTTCCATTGAGCACAATGTCACATCTCGACCTAGGCCCCCACCACATCCCGGGCTCAACTCCACCACCGTAGCATGATATTGTCCACTTTGGGCTTACCATTCCCTCACGGTTTTGTTTTTGGGAACTCACGAGCAACTTCCCAGTGGGTCACCCATCATAGGATTGCTCTAGCCCCCTTCTCGCTTAACTTCGGAGTTCTTATAGAACCCGAAGCCAGTAAGCTCCCAATAGGCCTTATGCTAGGTAGAGATGGGAATATACATTTAAGGAGGGCGATATGGGATGTCACAATCCACCCCCCTTAGGGGCCCGATGTCCTCGTTGGCACACCACGACTAAGGTTAGGCTCTGATACCAAATTGTCACATCTCGACCTAGGCCCCCACCACATCCCGGGCTCAACTCCACCACCATAGCACGATATTGTCCGCTTTGGGCTTACCATTCCCTCACGGTTTTTTTTTGGGAACTCACGAGCAATTTTCCAATGGGTCACCCATCATAGGATTGCTCTAGCCCCCTCCTCGCTTAACTTCGGAGTTCCTACAGAACCCGAAGCCAGTAAGCTCCCAATAGGCCTCGTGCTAGGTAGAGATGGGAATATACATTTAAGGATCAGTCCCCTAGGCGATGTGGGATGTCACACACAAGCAGTAAGAAAAGCTTGACAATTTAGTACATGAGATGACATATGTTATTGTCTTTATGCCCTTGACATTTTCTAACATGTTTGTTAGTGACTTTTTTTTTTATATTTTACCGTGCAAAGAAAGTACTATCGTGTTGCATTGTAAGAGGGTTTAAAAACATTTGTACGTACATATATGAAGACACTAAGTATAGACAATCTCTAAATATTAATTGTACACGTGATTAAGAAAGGCTCTTTAACATATGCATTGCATTTTAAGGTGTCCTCAAATGGGACAAACTGGTAAAAAACATGAAGAGACAGATTGTCACATCTCGGCCCGGGTGGGACCACTTCCCGGGCCCGCTCCACCACCGTAGCACGATATTGTCCGCTTTGGGCTTACCATTCCCTCACGGTTTTGTTTCTGGGAACTCACACGAGAACTTCCCGATGGGTCACCCATCATGGGAGTGCTCTCGCGCGCTACTCGCTTAACTTTGGAGTTCCTACGGAACCCAAAGCCAGTGAGCTCCCAAAAGGCCTCATGCTAGGTAGGGATGGGATATACATATAAGGATCACCCCTGGGCGATGTGGGATGTCACAATCCACCCCCTTTAGGGGCCCGACGTCCTCGTCGGCACATTTCCGGCCAGGGATAGGCTCTGATACCAATGTCACATCCCGGCTCGGGTGGGACGACTTCCCGGGCCCGCTCCACCACCGTAGCACGATATTGTCCACTTTGGGCTTACCATTCCCTCACGGTTTTGTTTCTGGGAACTCACACGAGAACTTCCCGATGGGTCACCCATCCTGGGAGTGCTCTCGCGCGCTACTCGCTTAACTTTGGAGTTCCTACGGAACCCAAAGCCAGTGAGCTCCCAAAAGGCCTCGTGCTAGGTAGGGATGGGATATACATATAAGGATCACCCCTGGGCGATGTGGGATGTCACACAGATGCCCTTAAAAAAAACAAGAAAAAAACGAAAAAAAAAAAAATGTTGGGAAATTGAGGAAAGAAACGTGGGAGAGAGACTGTAGTTTTCAGTTTACAGACTCTCACGTTATTGTAAAATTTGATAGAATGAAAAAAAAAAAAAAAAAAAAAAAAAAACCTAATACGTTTAGAGTTAGAAAATTTTGAAAAAAATTGAGGAAAGAAACGTGGGAGGGACTGTAGTTTTCAAACTGCTTTCAGTTTACAGACTCATGTTATCGTAAAACTAACGAAATAAAAAAAAATAGGAAAAAAAACCATAATATGTTTAGAATTAGAACTGCTATTCAGCAGTTGAACACTTAAAGCATGTGAAGGGAGTAGTTTTGTAGAAATAAACATGAACGTGCATGAAAATAAATTCAAACGTGGGAGATGAAGCAGTTTTGCGGAAGGAGATGTAAATAAAGCACAAAATAAAAGAACCTAAAAAGAACAAATTGAAATTGTTTTGCTGGAGCCCGGAGGAGAAGATTAAATTGGCGAAAAACCAACAAGAACTGGTCATTCAATAAAGTAGGTGATACTATTTTTTTTTTCTTTCGGTTAATTGAGTTTAAATCCTCCTCCATAGTTCTCAATTATTAAACTTTTGTATTTTGTTCTCTATCACAGTGCTCCTTATTCCTTAATATTAATCTTCTCATGCATTTTCACAGAA